ACCTGAGCCTGGGAGGCAGAGGTTGCAATAACCCGAGATTACACTACTGAACTCTAGCCTGGGTGACAGAGCAAAAAATAAAAAATAAATAAATAAATAAATAAGTAAATAAAGTGACTGGGATATACTGGTAGCAAAAATATCCCTGAGTCTTCCCTCTACTTATATCCCTACTCTTTGTCACATGATTTGGCAGCTCCTCACACTAAAAGTCAGGGTCTGTTCCCCACCCTGTGAATCTGGGCCGGCCTGTGATTTGTTTTGGTCAGCAGTGTGGGTGGGAGTGATGGTGGGCCGGTTCTGATTCCTGGCCTCAGGAAGCCATCAGGTGTGCTTCTGTCCCTTCACTTGGAGCATCACCACAGCCGTCTAAAAGAGCCGTCTAAGAAATGCCCAGGCAAAGCTAGTGGAGGATGAGAGACTATATGGAGGAGAGCTCAGCTGTTCCAACAGAGGCCATCTAGGATGGCCGGATGTTCGCTAACAAGGAGCCCACCAAGGTCAGCAGAGCGACCTCCTGACCCTCAGTTGACCACAGAGGCAGGAGCCTAGTCAAGTTCCAAAGATCCACCCAGCCAACCTGTAGTGTTGCAAACAAAAATAAATGCTTGTGTTTTGAGCTGCTGAGGATCGGGATGGTTTTCTACATGGCAATAAATTGTAAGACCATACTGACACTGTCCGTTCACTCCTAGCACCCTCGTTGGTTTAAATTATGGCAAATTATACTAATTTACTCTTTACAGAGCTGGTTAATAACCCATGAATAATGGAAAAGTTTGAAAAGAGAAGTCTGGCAAACAGAACTGGGCCAGAAATTACTTCAGTGGCTCACTGGAAGGGCACAGGAACCTGCAGTTTTGTTCCCCTGAATTCTGCTGCCTACCCAGGCAGCTTCAGAACATGGCAAGGGCCTCACAGGTTACTGTTAAGAATAAACGTGTAAAGAAAGTTAAAATCCACAGCAGCAGTTTCAACATCTTCGTGAATTAGGAGGTTAGGCAATACTAATTTCCATGCACGTGAAATTAATTTGGACCCAAATGGGGTCAAATGCAAGGTCAGCATGCTTTCCTCCATGCACCACAACCACTGGCCTAAATGAAGGTGTGGTGATGGCAAACCCTGGGCTCTGTACTCTTCGTTTCTGTTTTGTAACTGAATCTAGCAGGACAATGCAGTTTTAAAAAATGGTGTCTATGACAGATCATGGCTGTAGTTCAGCTAAAAAAGAGATACTTGCAGCTGCTCAACAAGGGCCAAGAAATACTCCCAAGGCTTGTGCAGTTTGGGTATCTCGAGCCAGGCTACGGGTGTGCATAGAATGGACAGTAACTCTTGTCCGGTGGACCTTCTAGACTTCAACTCTCTCGATCCAACACAATTCCAAGTGTCTGCTCTATTGGCTTATTGCACAAGGTTTGGCTGGGCGGGAAGAGTTGCTGGGCACATTCTCTGGGGCCATCTTTCCCTCGCAATCTCCACCAAGCATTCCCAGGGAAGTGTCTGAGTGGTCAGTGGAATGTACCCCAGCCTTGTCTGGGGAAATCCACTACCAAGCGCAAAGTTCTCAAAGATGGGAGAATGCCTAGCTCAATAGTGGGGTCAAGAAAAAAAAAAAAAAAGAAATGTAAGAAAAAATAATTCCTTAACTACAGTAAATCTAATGAAAAGGACCTAGTAAAAGGTTCCTTCCTTCTTTCCTTTATTGGGGCAAACCCAGTGAATGAGGGATGATACTATAAAAGCTTTTAGTGCTCTTTGACCTGAGCCTATTTCAATCATCCTACTGTGACCCATTAACTGATGCACAGAGGGGACACCGCGTTAGTGAAAGTGAGAAGATACATCTGCAACTGATTTTTCAGAGCTGGTAATGTCCGCACTGGAAATCCCTTGTAAGTGCAGAAGATCCTCCAGGGATTGGTAAATTATTAGTAAACAGTGAAAAGTACGAAGTGTTGAGGTTCATCCAGACTGGGGAGAAAAAGTCTAACATAGAGAACATCATGTTGGGATGATTTTAGATGGCTATAGCAAAATATTCCTTATAGCGCACAGGGCAAATTCTTGACTCCGTTCTGTAACAAAGATAAGGAAAAATTAGACAGTGTTGTGCTGGCCGGGTGTGGTGATTCATGCCTGTAATCCCAGCACTTTGGGAGGCTCAGGTAGGCAGATCGCTTGAACTCAGGAATTCAAAGACCAGCCTGGGCAACATGGCAAAACCCCATCTCTACAAAAAAAAAAAAAAATTAGCCAGATGTGGTGGCGTGCACCTGTAGTCCCAGCTACTTAAAGAGGCTGAGGTGGGAGAATTGATCAAGCCCAGGAGGTCAAGGTTGTGGTGAGTTGTGGTCGCACCACTGCACTCCTGGCTGGGCAGCAGAGCAAGACTCTGTCTCAGAAAGAAAGAAAGAAACAAACAAACAAATTGAAGAAAGTGCTGAAATGCACCTCATCCTTCAGAGACGGTTGAGAAATGACTCCATCCAGGAGGCCTGTCCCAACCCCAAAAAGAAAATCTCTTCCTGCTCTATGCTCTCACATGTCAAAAATAAATGCCTTTGAAAAATTAGAAGAACTTGCTAAAAGGAAATACATTCATTAAGGTGATGGGAAACTAGCACTTAAAGAAATGTTGAAGACAATTCAACTACTTTTGCCTGGACAAAAGACTAGAAAGAAATTAATTTAAACCTCGATGTATCTCATTTATATTCCCACTCTGAATTTAGCATGATGAATTTATAATACAAGCCTTCCTGTACTTACTGTAGGCTCCACCCAGGAGCTGTACATGTAGGGAATATATGCTCATTTCAATATCAGCCCAAGCAAATATAATTGGAAGACTGCTTGAAATCATACAATGGCTTTTCAAGTCAAATATACTGGGAGTATTTTCTTTTCTGTTTTATCTACCTCAGTGTTCCCCTGTCACATACATCGTTATCCAGGAGCTGATTGCTGATGTAGAAATATAAGTAGCTGTTTTCAGGATTACTACGAAGTGAAAATGGGTGTAAGCGTCAAATATAGGTGATGCATAGAGACTGCCATTGGAAGGGCAACGTTCAATGACGTAGGAAAGCGGTGGGAGGAATGGCTAGGGGGTGGAGGGACAGCAACATCCCATCATGGAACTTGTGGCCACGGTTATGGGAAAGAAAATGGGCAGGATCTGGATATAGAAAAGCTTACAGGATTACTAAAAACAGAAGGAGGCAGAAAGGTGAGCAAAGATGCCCGACGTAGCAGATGACAGAGGCAGGAGAGTGGCTCAAGACTTAGGCAGAAAATGGTAAGGAGGCCAACACTCTAGAAAAGGGTACGTCATTAAAATCTGATTTTCAAATGTTCCAAAGAAATCCATATGTGCTTTCATAGCAACTGTGGAAAACATTTGTTTGGTGGATGGAAAAATGCTGTGATTGCAGAAGTATAAAAACGAATAATGATTATTAAATATATATGAGATATAGAAAACCATTTTGGTTTAAATTTAAAATTTTGTAATTATATTTTAAAATTGAAAAGCTAAAATGACACTGATTTTTATTTCAATGACCACCTTTTCTTCCCGACAACTTCAATAACACGGGATGCTTAGCTTTTCTCTTCCAGAATTACTGACAACTGATAACTAGCTGTTTAGTCCCAAAGTCTCATTCAACCATGGCTAAATAGGGAATGTTGGATTATTCATAAGTCCAAGTAAAAAAAGACCTAGCAGCAAAGGGAACTCATTTGCTCATTTAAGGAAGCCCCTTATTTTACAAAATATATGGCTTTTTTTTTTTTTTCAAATACTGTACATGTACTCTTTGAAAATGGCTCACATCAAATGTAGCAGAAATTTACTTCAAATACAGGTACCTGTGCAAACACTCAGTCCACGGTCAGCATTTAGGGCATAAACTGAGGAAATCAGAGGCAGCTCCTCTTTACTCCATGCCCTGAAGCTCTGAGCACAAATTAAAGGATCAATATCAACGCTTTGGCTGAATGTCTGGTCCACCAGCAGACACACTCTCTTCCACACTGCTCTTAGCACAAAATTTTATGCCACATTAAAAAGGAAAACCACAAAGGTCTTTCCTTATTTACATTCAGATTTGCAGTTATGTGAGTAAGCATTAGCTGCCATGCAAACACATTGCAAATGGTCTGGGTTAATCTTTTGGTTCCTTTATTCACCACTGACAGCCATGCATTTTATACAATCAGCAACAATTTTGAGGTACACAATGGGTTTATGAAGTGTCATTCACAGTGTTTTATGTAACTGGCTTCAATAGAGGTACCACTCAATTTTTATGCCAGGTAAGCAAAGCTGCTTTAAAGCCACGACATTCAGAAATCATGCCCTTAAGGCTTTACTCCCAGCACAAAAGCAGCAGCAGCAGAACTCCAGCCCTGAAGGAGAGCTGCTTTTCCAGGGTCTTGGTAAACCGGAGGCCAGTCACTGTATGTATGATGCAGCTTTCCTGTTGTGTCATGGAAAGAATGCTATGACAAAAGTATTTAGTCTTGTTTTTGAATAAAATGGAATAAGATCCTAGAACAAATTAATTTAATAAATAGAACAATCTGTCATTTGTTCTCACTGCTGATAAGCATTAATTCTAAATAACAGTCATTCTATTTTTATTCTTAAGATTCAATGACCCAGTACAGTGATGCACACGTATCTCTAATTAAAGTACCTGCTATTTTATTGGCCTTACCAAATGTTATTCCTAGGTGTAATCGCCTACTAATGAAATCACTCCCTTTTACTTAGGGAATCAGAGACACAAAAACTACAGCTCCCCAGAAAAAACACATTATTGTCTTAAGCTAGGAGCACAAGCACTTTCCTTCTATTCCCTGAAAATTTCATAAGAAATGTGATAATTAGTAAAGAAACCACTTATCTCAATAAATATATTTAAATCAATGGAAAGGAATAAGAAATTGCCAAAGCTAGATTGGTCGGTGGCGGTCGGCAGCCTCACCTATCAGTGTGTGAAAGACGGCAGCGATGGCCCCGGCCACCACCATACACAGGACGGCTTTGGTCCTGTCTCGCTTGCTGTTCACAAACACCAGGCCCACATTTTTGAAGTCACTCATAGGACCCGTGAAGAACTTCATGAGGGAGTACGCCAGCCCGTAGCTGGCCAGCATCTCAACTGCATCCTCCTTGACAGCAGCAATGCCCCGGTTCAAGGCCTGGGAAGGGGGAAAAAAACCCACAAGTATTAGAAATGTCGTCTCTTCTCTGGGGAATCATACCTCTAAGACGAAACTTAGCAGATCACGTTTCTATAGAAACACGAAGAACTTATAGGGTACATCTCATGTAATTGGATAAAGGTGATTGGTTTTCATTTTCGTCTACATCAGCTTCAGTTTGAGTTTCTTTTTGTGAAGGAGATACCTGTCCACTGCAGTTAAAATAATAGCAAAACACCAACAAATAGTTTATGCTAATATTGAAAAATAATTCTAAGAAGTTTTGGTTAAAAGTTGATTTTTTAAAAAAACTAAAATGTTAAATTTTGTTTGCAGGCTGAATCGACATAATGGCAACAGACACGCTGGAAATGAGTCTAACGGTTTATATCAAGGGGACGGGTTCTTTTTTCTTTAAAGAAGGGGGGTGTGTGTGTTCATGTGTGTACATGTAATCTTAAATACTTGGTATACGTTATATATTCTTCATAGCAGAGTTCTATGCTATGAAAAAAGTACTGAAGGAATTTATTATATTCTTCATTAATGCATGTTGTTTACCTGATTCCTACATTTTGGCCTGAAATACGTTCCTGAGCTCTATGCAGACATATATGAAAGGAACACCTTTAGACTAAAAAACAAATGTTTTTGGATAATGGTTATACAGGAAGATGCGGTCGTAAAATACCCTGAATACTTTAGACATCCTCCAAGACAGACACTCTTAGGCACTGCAGGCCTTGTTGGGATGGTACTTCCAAACTAACTTTCCCACCCCGTAGACAAATGAGTAACAGCAGACCAGTGGGAATGGATGTCCAGGTAGCGACAGCTTTCTGACTGAAATGCCTCTAGAGCACTGCCTCTGTCATTAGGAACAGGCAACTATGCAGAAGAGCAGGCTTTCTGTATAGTTATATATTTGTAAAAAACAGACTGTTTTTAAGGCAGTTTTAGGTTCATAGTAAAATTGAGCAGAAAGTACAGAGCGTTCCCATATATCCTTTGCCCCCCACAAACACGGAGCCTCTCCTGCTATCAACATCCCACACCAGAGTGGTACATGTCTTACAATCAATGAATCTATGCTGATACATCATTATTACTCAAAGACCAGACAGCAGTCCCCTCTTATCCTTAGGGGATACATTCTAAGACCCCCAGTGAATGCCTGAAACTATGGAAAGTACCCACGTTTTTTCCTATATATACATACCTATGAGAAAGTTTAATTTATAAATTAGGCACAGTAAGAGATTAACAACAATAATCAAACAGATTATAACAATATACTATAATAAAAGTTATAGGAATGTGGTCTTTCTCTCAAAATATCTTACTGTACTCCTTGTGATGAGAAAGAGATGAAGCAAGATGGTGAGAGATTTCATTACACTACTCGGAATGGCATGCAATTTAAAACTTATAAATTGTTTATTTCTGGAACTTTCCATTTAATATTTCTGAACCTTGGTCAACCACGGGTAATTGCAACCATGTATAGTAAAACTGTGGATAGGGGTGACTAGTGTAATGTAGTTTACATTGGGGCTCACTCTTGGTATATTGTACATTCTGTGGATTCTGACAAATGCAGAATGACATATATCCACAACATGTTTTTAAGAAAAAAGATACGCTAAAGTCTTGGCCTGCCATTTGTCACTCATCCAATAGAGACACGATCACATTCACAGAATTCATACTCAGTCTCTGCTATGTAAACTGAAAGAAGAAGAAAGAAATTCACTTTTCCTGTCTATTTCCTATTTCTATTAATCAAGACAGCTGTTGATAATTTTCCCTACAAATATATGGTTATAGCCATAGTCTGAGAGCTACCTTGCTATACTGGGTAAAGCTAATCTCAACAATACCAAAGGAGCCAATGGGCGCTTGAAAGAGGAGACCGAATACAACAAAAGATTCAAGAACTCATCTTCAAACATATATGAGAATCATACTACATTATAACAAAACAAAGTAAACTCAATCCACCATTGTGTTTCACTGAATCTGATATTATAGACTGTAAGCGTATGGCAGATACATCTGATAGCAATAACTTCAGCACACCCTGAGAATGACCCTGCATGGTAGATGCACCTGATAAGAATAATAACTTAAACATACCCTAAGAATGCTGATGCACCTGATCTACGTAAACTGCATGCTTTTTACAAATGGTAGCAGCTCTCCTGTCGGGCCTGCCACCACTGGACTTCCCTGTATCTAAGTCCCCTCGGTAAATAGGGTTTAGGTCTCAATCACTGGCTCCGGGTCTCTTCTTTGGCCTCTTGAACGTGGTGTCATCCTTACTGAAGTCAATATGGGACTGACACAACAGTAAGGTACATTATTAGTTATATGCCACTAAGAAAGAAAAAATGTTCCAGCCGGGTGCGGTGACTCACGTCTGTAATCCCAGCACTTCTAGAGGCCGAGGTGGGCAGATCCCTTGAGGTCAGGAGTTCAAGACAAGCCTGGCCAACATGGTGAAACCCCGTCTCTACTAAAAATACAAAAATTAGCTGGGCGTGGTGGCGCGAGCCTGCAATGCCAGCTACTCTGGAGGCTGAGGCAGAAGAATCAGTTGAATCTGGGAGGTGGAGGTTGCGATGAGCTGAGATCGTGTCACTGCACTACAAAAAAAGAAAAAAGACAAAATATTCCCAATTGTAATTGGATGTCATTGATTATAAAATGTATCCAGATTTCCGAGTTGCTAAAATATGGAGGTGGAAGGAGTGTGCCTCAGAATCTATGAAAGGAGGTATTTCATGTTACTCTTCAAGTTATTCCTTAGTTTCAAGGGGTGATGTAGTTTGTGGGCCTATATGTAATCCAGCATCAGCAGACTTTGGCAGAAGCACTGGCAGAGCTACTCGGCAAAACTCAAGGGCTTCACATTCTGTTCCTTTGTTTCATTCCTTCACCAGGAGACACAGCTGACTGGTAGAATGAGAACTTAAGGGTTGACATTCTCTGCAAAGCACTGTTAGGAAAAATGCGTTTACAGGAAAATACCAATGTGAAAATACAATTAAAAAAAAATCTAGAATAAAAATGTATGCTAGCCGTAGGAACTCATTATCATTTTTCTGACTCAGTTGGTATTATATAAGCTAGCTTCTGATAATTGTTTCCAATTTTATCTCTAATTGTTTTCCTTTTTTCCACTAATAACGGTGAAAACTTCCATAAGAACCTTCTCAGCCTCTGCAGAGCACACCTGCCATGACGCCTTTCTTAGAAACAAATTTTCCCTGATGGAATACATTAACACCCTAAAACAAAATAAAAACCAAAAACCTCCTTTATATCAAGTGCCTGTGTTCAACAAACATCTCTAGTCTACGGGCTCCTCCTGTCTATGTGCAAAACTTACCATTTGACAATCTACCAAATTAATTCCCTTTGGCCTTCTGCAGGGGACACTGTTGGTGTCTCACCCAGATCCCCTATCCTTTACCTGGCAGGGGACCCATCCCCAGATGCTGGGAGTTGGCCACTAACGGCTCACAGGTGTCTTCTTGTCAGGGAGAAGTACTGCTAGCCACTTTGCATTAGTGAAACTCATCTGACGCGTCCACCATAGATCCAACCAGCACGCAGCCACCCGAGTGTATAAGATCAGTGTCCTGCCTGCAAGTAGGACCACTGTGGTACAATTCACGCTCCAGAGTTCTCCCTGGGATCAGGGTGAAGCCAGTCTCCAGTGGGGACCACATCGTCGCTTCACTTTTCCCCACCGCCTACCCTGCTTCCTCCCCTACACACAGGTTTTGCTTCTAGAGAACTCCACTTAGGACAGCTTCTAATCACCTATTTGTCAGACGTCAAGAATAGTGTATGGTTTGTTTTCTTTCCCATCCTTCCCAAAATCTAGGATTGTGAATTGTTTACTTGTTTTTATTGCTCGAATGTGTTGAATCTTGGATGATATTTATTATTTAGCAAAATTTTAAAAGCATCTCATAGGGCACCTAAATAATGGAGGACTAGACATTTTATGTGTCTTCTTGGCAAAGCATTCTTTATTTTATTTTTTTTGCTAAAAACACACCAGCCTGGGCTGAGGCATCCACTGAACTGCTTTCTATTTCCACCAACAGTTTCCGAACTTGAGTCCTCAAGCCAGTGCTGAGGCAGGTGGGAAGAGAGAGGGCCCAGGTAATGACAGCTCTGTCAGTGAGATGAAGTGAGAAAGTTTCATTTAGCCCGACGATTACGGTAATTTGAGGAAGAGCACAGGGTTTAAAGCCATGCAGGCTTGAGTTGGAATCTGCTTCTATCACTTAACCGCTGAGTGGCCTTGGCTAAAGTACTTACTCTCCCTAAAATAACCCAACTGATTTGAGAAGCAAGGTAGGTAGTGCGCAGGGCACGAAGCAGTGGCTGGCTGACAGTCGCTTGAAAGCAAGGATTTTTGCCGCTTTTGTTTACTGCTGTTCACCTACCACCTTGTTGCCAAGGCGACATTGTAAACACTCTATTATTCGTTGAATGCACGAATGAATTGGCTATTTTTTACGGAGAACTTAAGTGTACATACTAACTGTATGAACTAATTTTTAAAGAAACACTTCTTAAAATCACATTTTAATTGCAAGATATTATTGCTTGTAAGAGATGCCATTGATTTCATGTTTTTAATGACCGTATTAAATACACACATTATTTGAAAATCATCCTGATTTCAAGAAACATTCAAAAGCATGAAAAAAGATGCAGAATTGAGGACATGAGCTACATTCATATTACTAGCACTTTGCTATCCCCATCTGGAGCAAATGTTTCCCCCAGTGTGTTCACTGCTTAGTTCCATGTTTTCTTTTGATACCAGAAACATTGTTATCATGCAGTCTGTCAATCATTTTATGGAGTTTTTTTTTTATGCTTTTGGATTTGCCATTCTTACCCCGCCATAGATAGGATAATTTTGTTCTAATTTACAGCTTCATTTGCACACTTTTTAATCTCCCTGAAACTTA